TCGGAAAAATCCGCGGAAAATTGAAAAAACCAATTTTCTTTCCAGCCTTTAAAACTGTAGATATAATAAAATGTATCTTAAAATCTCTTATTTTTCTGAAATTCTTGCAAATACTTACTATATTATTCAAATTTTCTCACTGTTCAAATTACCCCGCTGTATTCTATGTGAACATATTTTTTTTAGCTTTGTTCGGTTATTAAATTATTAGGTCACAATAAAAAGTCCAAATCTTGTCAAAGAATGTCACACGATCGTATAATAAAAAAAATGTTCATACCTTGATACAATTGCAGCCTTGACGAGGTAGTAACCGGAAATTAGTAGTAGCAGGACGATCGGTAAACCATACGCATAAAGTGTCGCCGTGGCTCCTAGAAACCTATAAAATTAACAAAAGTAAACGAAATCAAATATCCATAAGTAAATTAGTACATAAATTAATTTGATCGTATTAATACATATTAATTTCTACGATAAACGTTAAGAAAAAATGTGTACGTCAACACACGTGAAACCTGCTTGAAAATATCGCGCAGCTAAAAATACTCATCGCATAAAAATTCAATTCGAGCGTTGCAATTCTCATGAAACTGAAGAAATGTGACGAAAGACGATGGAAATATTTATCAGCTTTTTATTAAGTTACGTATCACCTATAAATCGCACGTGCGAATATACGCGGAGGGAATACCCAAAATCCCTGTCGCTTTTTTTTTCGGCGGAAACAGATTGGGTCAGAGAGCGAGCGTGAGCGAGTGACTACAAAACGCGCGATTTTATCGGGGAAGCACTCCGGCGATATCGAATACCGATTTTCGGCACTCGCCTACTTTGCACATGTCGGCAGTTCGATTTTTACACACGTCTCGCGAAAGAAATATTTCCCGCCGTTTATTTTCCTCGATTGCATCTCGGCTATTCAAACGAGACGAGGCTGCGACCAGTGAAGACGCCTCGTTTCTTTTGAATTAAAATCAGTCATAGTAAATATGAAATTTAAGTAAAATCGATGGGATAATTGTTATTAATGTACAATAATAACAATGTACATGATTATAATAATGAAAAAGAACATAAAAATAATAAATAATTTGGATGTTGAAAATTAAGATTTCCTATTTCTATTTCTAATTTCATCTTTATTTATGGCATGAAACTTATTATACGTTGAAATACTCATACTTTTCACTTTGCAAAATTTTAATTCCACTCTGTTTAAAAAAATTTTTTTATCTGTTTTTAATACCTATAATTGTTATTAATGCAGTAATGACAATGATTATACTGAAAAAATACAAAATGGAAATAATTTGGATATTGAAAATTAAGATTTCCAATTGCTAATTTCTATTTCTAATTCTACTTCTAATTTCATCATTTTTAATTCGTAATTTATGGCGCGAAACTTATTATACGTTGAAAATCTGGAATACTGATACTTTTTACTTTGCGAAATGTTAATTCCATTCTGCTCTTTAAAACATTTTTTTTCATCCCTTTTTAATACCTGCAATTGTTATTAATGCACAATAATGACAATATACACAGTAATGACAATGATTATAATGAAAAAATATAGAATGCAAATAATTTGGATGTTAAAAATTAAGATTATTCCTAATTTCATAATTTTTCATTTGTAATTTATGGCACGAAACTATTATACGTTGAAATGTTACTCTGCGAAGTTTCGTAATTAATTCCACTCTGCTCTTTAAAAATATTTTTTTCATCTCTTTATAATATCTATAATGGAATTGTTAGGTACATTGAATTGGACTTATTACGAGTACTACTATTGATCCCTGATCCCGCTACAATTACGCCAACTTCACCATTATCTGGAAACCGCCGAGAGATTAAGTCAGATTAGATCCTTAATACTTACGTCAACGATCTCGAATTACGATGAAGAAAAAGAGGAAAAATACGTGAATAAATCTTGAAAGTTTGGACGCGCCCACGCGAATGAATTATTGCGAAAGAAAATTGCTTTCACGATAGCTGCACAGCCTTGCAGAATGTTATAAAAATTCTAATATGTTACGCGCATACATTATCATCAATTAATATTAAATACATTTTAATTAACTTTAAAAAAAATTTTAATGTACTTATAATTTCCTCTCTCCTCTGAAATGTTTATTCAAAATTAATACACCTTAAATAAGCAAGATATAGATACTTTTACAAAAAAAATATGAATGTTGAGTTGGGAAAAAGTTTACAACCAAAAATGTGTCCCACAAAATATTCGGTAAGGGAAAGAGGGGGGGGGCAAATAGTGACGGATTTTTTCCTTTCTTCCTCACGAGCTAATTTCAAGTTTACAAGATACGATTTTTCACTAAAAGAGTACTTTCCACTTTCAAATATACAAAAAACTTAATTAGAGTTTCCATAAAGTCATGTATGGAAAGAACGATTTTGTTGAAAGGCCTAAAAATTCTGCTAAAAACAGATCTAAAAATAATTTTTTGTTGAATCATCACAAAAATTTGTTAGATTGTTAAAACTGATAAGCATTGTTATAAAAGCATTGCTATATACAGGGTGGACCATTTTAATCCATCCAGTCGAATATCTCGAAAATCAAGCCTGGGAGAGAAAAATTTTTCAGACAAAAGTTTTCGGACTTCGAGGGGGACATAAGATGATAACATTGGTTTGACCCTGAGTGGCGTTGTCAAGGTCAGGACAAGGTCACTTTGAATTTTTTAAATGGAACCCCCAATTTTTCATTACAGGTTCTTATAGCGTACGTCTCAAGAACTTTCCAAAACACATAAATAAAATATTTTTTTATGAAATAAATCTTGAGTTATGAAGCTTGAAAGTTGGAGTATTGTCAGTATTAGCATCATCTAAGGTGTCCAAACATTAGCTAAAGATGGCCAAGATCATTGGCCTTTATCAATGTCATGATCCTGAACAACATTCAAAAGATTTTAGCTAGTGTTTGAACACCTTAGATGATGCTAATACTGACAGTACTCCAACTTTCAAGCTTCATAACTCAAGATTTATTTCATAAAAAAATATTTTATTTATGTGTTTTGGAAAGTTCTCGAGACGTGCTATAAGAACCTGTAATGAAAAATTGGGGGTTCCATTTAAAAAATTCAAAGTGTCCTGACCTTGACAACGCCACTCAGGGTCAAACCAATGTTATCATCTTATGTCCCCCTCGAAGTCCGAAAACTTTTGTCTGAAAAATTTTTCTCTCCCGGGCTTGATTTTCGAGATATTCGACTGGATGGATTAAGATGGTCCACCCTGTATATATATATTAGGAGTGCGTTCGGATTTCTTCCTCTACGTGGTCGCTGTGTGACCGGTGAGAGTAGGGTCTAGTTATCAGAAGATACTCAGGTGACAAGGAATCCAAACGGTGATTGGAAGGCCGCACACGGGAATCTGAACGCGTCTCTAGTAATAACAAACGTAGATAGATTATGACCATTTTAATAATTAATAATTAATTTTAATTTTTTTTAAATATATCTTATTATTTTTCATTACCGGTAACAATTTTTTAAAAATTTCTTGCTATGAAAACACTATATACATTATTAATATTTAAGTTTTCTGAAGTATTGAATTTTGCCTTTATAATATTTTGCGCACGAGTTTCCTTTTTCTTTCATTTTATTCCTTGTGACTTAATATTCTCTTCAGAGAGACAATGACAAAAACATGATGGTATTGCATCTTTTTTAACTTCTTTTCTACTTCTCACTATTATTAAATCTGATGCTACAAAACAAAGTGTACCTGAAATAGAGAAAGCATTAAATGCAGGAAGCACTTTTAAAACTATTTTTATTTGATTCTTGCATGGCATCCTACAATAACGCTAATTACTTCACACAATCGAAGATTCTCTAAAGAACGTTTGTCATTCTCGCCCAAAACAGCATCTGACCATGCTTTTCGAAAATAATTTTCCTTGAGGAATCGGAATGAATATTTTTCACTGGATTTGTTATAGTATTTCGGTACGCAGCAAACATTTGGCATTTTGAAAAATATAAAATCTAAATCAACAATAAAAATTATATTATTAATAAAATAGACATTTCTAATTTTCGTACTACTTATTTAACTATAAAGCATCAACGTTTACTAATTCAGACAGCTTATTCATGACAACATATTGCTTTTTCTCATAATTTTACATAGACATGACAAATTTATAACTTAATTACCAACAATAGACGTTTGAAAATAAATAATCTTATCAATCAAAATAGGTATTATGATGTAGTATTTATTTGGCTCTGAACCATGGAGCTCAATTATGCAAAAATACCCCAGCCAATCAGAGTCCACTTGCAGTCACTGAGTTGACAAGTCTCTACTTTAAGGTCCATCTACAATGGGAGCAGTAAGTCGTAAGTCATAAGAAATTTACCAATCGCAGTCGATTATTCTTCTCGTATTCGACTGTGATTGGCCAATTTCTTACGGCTCACGACTTACTATTCTCACTGTAGATGGACCTTTAGGGTCTCTACATAAAGCCGGGTCTACATTAGTTGCAAGCCGATCATCGCAAGCTTGTTGCGACAGCCAATCCAAACCATTGATTTCAAAATGCAAGCTTTAGATTGGTTGTCGCAATAAGCTTGCGATCGGCTTGCAATGTAGAACCAGCTTAATGCGTGAAATGGAACGCATCTCATAATATATGATTTGGATAAAATTTTAAATCGAAATCGATCGAAATTAATATCTTCAAGTTGCTCCTCGACCTTATATAGACGGATAAAATTAATCCCAAATTTTTGGCTCCTTAATATGAATCATTTCATAAATCAGCCTTTTGTAAAAATTGCGTTCTTTGTCTATAAATTAACGCCTTCCCAATTGAAAGTGTGATTCAATTCCAACATGTGTTCATTAATAACAGAAATGTTTGGGCTGCGTTCAGAAACTACACCCAGGAGCACCCAATCTCTCAACCACAAAACGCCATGGTATTTGGTGGTATCTAGTGTCTTGAGTGTTGTAGATTGACAAAGGTTGACAAAGTATATCACAATATACTATGGTTATATGGAGTAAAACGAGTGGTGTTCCAAAGAGGATATAATAAAGAAGACGAAGAAGAAGGAAGGAAATTTTAATATATTGATTAACCAAAATTTTTAATTACGGTATCTCTAAATAATGGGTCCGCCAAAGCGTTTAAAAAAAGATAACGGTACATAACCTATGCATTATATTTTGTTTGTCGAATTTTTATATTTATTCGATTATTTACAACTGCATAATTTATTTTTATATTATGTTATACACACATATGCAAAAATAATTACGTTTTGTTTTCATTCGCTATTAAATAAAGGTAAATGGAAGAAGCGCAAGGATGATTACGATGAATACAACGATGACGATTCGATAGACAGTAATGAGGCAGATGGTGTACCAGATGCAGCAAAAAATGATGTAGAAAAACAAGATGAGTGTGCAATCGAGGATGAATTTGGCGCAAAAGATTATCGCTCGCAAATGATTTTAAAACCAGATTGTTCATCCAGACCATTATGGATGGTAAGAATTTTTTCGTTTTTTTTTAATTTGTGGAAAGAGAATTAAATGTATCTCATAAAACTATACAAAATAGATCCCAAAATAATGCTTATCTATGTTTACTGTAGGCGCCAAATGGACATATTTTTTTGGAATCCTTTTCTCCTGTGTATAAACATGCTCATGATTTTTTAATAGCTATATCAGAACCTGTATGTCGACCAGAACATATTCATGAAGTAAGATAAAGATTATATTAGAAAAAGAGCCAGTGACACACACACACACACATACACACACACACACACACACACATACACACACACACACACAAATGTATATATATGTATATATATTTTGTATATATAATACATATATTTTCATTTTTTTTAGTATAAATTGACTGCATATTCACTTTATGCTGCGGTTAGCGTAGGTCTACAAACACAAGATATAATAGAGTATTTAAAGAGATTGAGTAAAACTAGTATTCCTGATGGTATAATCGAGTTTATCAAACTGTGTACATTATCTTATGGGAAAGTGAGTAAACAGCAATTTTGATAATTTTTGTTTGATGCTGTCAAAAAATTAATTTAAGTTCATCTTAATAAGATTTATTAAGATATTGCATATTTCACATTCAGGTTAAACTCGTCTTAAAACACAATAAATATTTTATCGAATCGCCATTTCCTGAAGTGTTACAACGATTACTGAAAGATCCAGTAATTCAAGAGTGTCGATTGAGAAAGCTTACAGGAGATATAGAAACCGATGATATTGTCACAAATGTTCAAACCAAAATAAAAGTTCCACAGGTCTGTTAAATGCTTATGTTAATAATTAGACATGTAATTTTGATAATAAGAAGATAAAATATATAATATAAATCTGTTCTTTTATGTCGAAATATAGTTTGGATCAAAAGCACTCATAAATACGCTTGTGCCTAGTAAGACAAATTCAGAAACTGAATCTGACCAAATATTAACAGAAACAACTACCATTCCAGAAGATATAACTGCTTTTTATAGTAAGATTGACAAGGAGGATGAAGATGAAGAAGAAGATCAAGAATTGAAAACAGTTAGTTTTGAAGTGAATCAGGTATTTATCTTTTAATATATTTAATACATTTAATTTTTTACATTTGTACAAAATATGATAAAAGATATTTATTAATATTACATGTACGTATTATTATGGTGAAAAGGAGAAAATTGAAGTTATACAAAAACGATGTATCGAACTGGAACATCCTTTATTGGCAGAATATGATTTTCGCAACGATAGTGTAAATCCCGATATAAAGTAAGTAAATGGATGAAAAGTAATGTTTTCTAAAAAGTAGTTCTGATAGAATATTTATTTTCTTCAGCATATATAAAAGCTGAGAAGGAGATTTGGTTTACAATTGATCTATTAATTTACATCCATACAGACCTTTTTTACTAACATTATTTCTATATTCTAATCCTATATCTTTCTTTATAAATTTTTTACTTGTCCTATTCTCTTTGCTCTTTATACATTTTATCTTCGTACATTTATATATTTGTCTATCCTTACAAAAGTAGTTTTTAATAAAAATTAAGTGAATAAAGATAAAGTTAATACCGTCTAATATTTTATTAGTATAGATTTGAAGCCATCAGCTGTATTAAGACCTTATCAAGAAAAAAGTTTGCGGAAAATGTTTGGTAATGGACGAGCTAGATCCGGGGTAATAGTTTTACCCTGTGGTGAGTGTCCCTCATAAAATTTCTATTAAATATGTATTAGGCAGAAAGCTGTGGCAGTACATTTGTAAACAATTTTGGATTTTCTTCATGCAGGTGCTGGTAAAAGTTTAGTTGGAGTAACAGCTTGCTGTACAGTACGTAAACGTGCTCTAGTGCTATGTAATTCCGGTGTATCCGTAGAACAATGGAAGCAACAATTTAAAATGTGGTCTACCGCTGATGATTCGATGATTTGCCGTTTTACCAGCGAAGCTAAGGATAAACCTATGGGTTGTGGAATATTGATAACCACATATTCCATGATCACACATACTCAAAAACGTTCATGGGAAGCTGAGCAAACGATGCGTTGGCTTCAAGAACAGGAATGGGGTATTATGGTCTTAGATGGTAAATTTCATTATTCAAATTATTTAGCAAAGTAATATTTGTTCCCATGCAATAATTATGATTTTTATTTAGAGGTGCACACCATTCCTGCAAAAATGTTCCGTAGAGTATTAACAATTGTTCAGTCTCATTGTAAGTTGGGTTTAACAGCTACGCTCTTACGAGAAGATGATAAAATTGCTGATCTGAATTTTTTGATTGGTCCTAAATTATACGAGGCTAACTGGTTGGAATTGCAAAAAAGAGGATTTATTGCAAGAGTACAATGCGCGGAAGTTTGGTGTCCTATGACACCAGAATTTTATAGAGAATATCTTGCTTGCAAGATGAGCCGAAAACTGGTTATATTTTGTTATATTTATATAATTTATAACTTTAAATGTATATTACATCTCTATAATTATATTTCTTATAATTTTAGTTACTATATGTGATGAATCCAAATAAATTTCGTTGTTGTCAATATTTAATTCGATATCATGAAAGACGTGGCGATAAAACAATTGTCTTCTCTGACAATGTATTTGCATTGAAACACTATGCTATTAAAATGAATAAGCCATATATTTATGGTCCTACTAGTCAGGTAAATATTAACATCGATCATAATAAATATAAACTATATATGTATATATAAAATAAAGGAAATATTAATAATGATAATGTTTCTTATACGCGACATTATATTTCCTCGATGATTTATGTTTTATCTGTTTTCAGAGCGAAAGGATACAAATTTTACAAAATTTTAAATTTAACATGAAAGTAAATACGATATTTGTCAGCAAAGTAGCAGATACTTCTTTTGATTTACCAGAGGCTAATGTCTTGATTCAGATTTCATCCCATGGTGGATCTAGAAGACAAGAAGCACAACGATTAGGGCGTATTCTTAGGGCTAAAAAAGGTATAATTTATTTATTTATTTATTAGACAAGTTTATGCTATAAAAACTTTCATTACGTAGGTGCGATTGCGGAAGAATATAACGCATTCTTTTATACGCTCGTATCACAAGATACAATGGAAATGAATTACTCGAGAAAGCGTCAACGATTTCTCGTGAATCAAGGTTACGCGTACAAAGTCATCACGAAACTTGCAGGCATGGATGAGGTAATGACATCGATAAAATAATAATTGAGCAGTATTGCAGTGTTTTCTTTTTTTATCTTTATGTATTAGCACACTGTTATTTAAAATATATAATATGTAGATTTAAATATAAGATTTAGATACAAGATTAATATATAAAGTTATATACGAAGTTTTATTTCGCTTTCTTTAAGCGAATTACTTGAAAGCTCGACAAAAATGTTTCTGACAAACATTGTATGATGTGAAAGGGAACAATTAATAAAGTCAAATTTGGAAAAAATCGATTTTTCAAGGTCACATGAAAATCATCGCCATTTTTCAAGATTTAGAATATATGATTTTTTTAATATAATATTTTCTATATTCTACATACAAAAATGTCAAAGTGCAGTTATAAAAAACACAACGTTTACAAGATATTTTATGCGTTATTCTGACATAATGTATAAAGTATTTTGACATAAAATATAAAATATTTTATATAATTAATTTTATGATAATTGTATCTTCGTATTTTTTGTGCACAAAATAATCAGATTAATTAATTAAAATGTAAGGAAAACATTTTTTTAAGTTATATTAAAATTTATAATATGCATTATCTTTTTTGAAAAAGCAATTATGTGTTTTCTTTACCTTGATTGATTCATCATATTATTCTGTACATAAAAGTATTAGATACGATTATTAAAAAATTAATAATTTACGAGATATTTTGTATTACATGTAAAAATATATCAGAATTAAGTTTAAAATCTCTTGTAAAGAGCCAGACCAAAAGTAGGTGTTTTTTGATCCCTTTTCTGGACCTTTAATTTTGAAGCAAATTTTGTGAGATCGG